CCCCCTGCGGAACCGGGGATTGAACTCAGGCCCTTGCACTTGGCAGGCAAATGCTTATTATGCTGAGCTATCTCCCCAGCCCCATGGAGTATTGTTTTTCATTGGCTTTGATAATATTGAAATATTTCTTTTAAATTTGGGATCCACCTTAATTTGACCCTTCTGATGAGTTCAGATGTCTTTTACCAGAAGCTTCTTGGAGAGCACCACATACCCTGTAGACCCCACCCTTGGGGTGCACTGAGACAGAAATTGAGACTGGGCATGGTGGCATGGGCCTGTAATCCCAGCACTTGGGAGGATGAAGACAGGAGGATCAATATGAACCCAATCTGTGTAGTGAGACCCTGTGTCTAGACCCTGTACTAAATACATAAACAAAAAGAAGTTTCTTGGCTAGATCTTCCAGTCTTTAGAATTGAAAACTACATACTCATTTATTAAACAGCACAGATCTTTATAAGGTTATATTCTGGAATACAGCAATAAACAAAGAATAATCACATTTTAAAATTTGTATTTCCATGGAGGAAGAAAATAAGCAAAAATTTAAAGTAGGCAAAAGAACATCCACATTTGGTTGGTCCCAGCCCGACCTTCAGGTCTGAGCTTCAGGTACATAGAGCAAATGCCCAGGTACCTGGCGTTCCTAGCAGGAACCCAACAAGACCACACTCAGGGTGTCATTTCCATCTGCATTTCTCTGCCACCGCCACTGCGCCACCCAAGCTAGAAATACATGAGTCAACCTTGGGTCCTTTTCATAGCTCTTTCTCCATCTCCCATCTGTCACAAAGTTTAGCTAGCTCTCTCCTCTGACTACAGTCCCTTCCCTTCCCTGTCATTGTGATAATTCAGAGCAACGTCACCTCTCCCTTGGCATCTTGCAGTTGCTTCCTGGAAGATCCCTCCCATGTAACTAGCTTCCTCTGGTTTGACTGAAATTCTAACTCACTGCTGCTCCAGCCCATCCATAGACCCCAAGTGCACCTGCTCAGCTCTTCCTGCATGAATAGATTCTCTTACTCTGGCCTTTCAGTCTCTTGGCTTCTCTTTAGTTTTCTATACACAGAATAGTTGCAGATTTGGAATGTCTGGAACACTCTTTTTCCCCAAGCCATTATTAGGGTAGCTGATCTTTCACATTCCAAGGGAAGCACAATTTCCTTGGGCCAGTTTTACCTATGTGGTCAGACTGAGTTACCTGTACCAGTCATGGATTTCCAAATCCCCTCTGTTTTTTAATCCATATGTTACCTCTGCCAATGGCTCTCTCATAGCCTTCCCCCACATAGAATGTAAATTCTGAAAAAACAAGAATGCCTGCCTATGCACCATGTCCTTTCCAGTGCTTGCCCAAAAGTTTAGCAGAGAGAATGTGCTTACTACACATGTGGATGAAACGAAGAATGGGCATTGTACAAGAGACTCACGGAAGCTGGTTGACAATAGCTGTGTTTCCTTTTCAATTATGTGCTCCATAACCAGAGATGACTTTGAAGTGTGATTTCCAAAGGGCACTTTGCCTGTTCACTGGATGCTGGGGATCTTGGGGCATATTCTCTAGTAACTGACCCTTCTCTCAGCCGCCACATGATTATTCCAGCTTTTCATCTTTCTAAGCCTAGCAGCGAAATTTTCTTGAGAGATGTCCAGAGGTGACTTGCTATACAATAAGAACCCATTTTAGGTGTAGCCCCATTTGCAAATATTTAAGAATATAAGTTACAGTTACCAGTGAGAGACATCCTAGAGCTATTACTGCATAGGAAAAAAACCCAATATTCTTTCATCTTTTCTCATTTTAATTACTGTTTGAGTCTTCAATAATTCTTTCAACGTTGCCTTCATTTTTTTGAAAAAAGTATGCTTTTTCATTTTCAGCCAACTGCAAAACGATTGCACCATTCAGTATTTTACTAGCTGAAAAGATTGCTAATATTTATTAATCACATACCAATGATAAGCATTCTTGAATCATTCAACAACAATCTAGGGAAGTACCTTTTTTTATTTTCTCCCAAAAGAAAGCATATTTATAGCAGTTCAAGCAGTTAAAAACTTACCAAGTATTTGAGCTGAACTTTGAATAGGAAGTCTTCCTATTCTTATGTTATCTGACTTGAGCTGCAAGATATTTTTACACAACCCTGCCTTCCTAGCTCCTAATTTTCTTTGCATAGTAGGTCTGCAGGGTACAGTTCCGTATTCACTGGGTCTTTGCTGTGATTCTAGATAAAGAGAGAATATTTGTAATCTGTTGAGCTCATTGTATTTCATTCTGTCAACCCAAACTGAAACGGGCCTAAGTAAAACGGGCTAATTGTGCAGAAGGTAAAGCGTGTCTAAGTCGCAGACGGAAAACCCTGACTTGAAATATTTTTTAGCGGTAGAGGAATTTTTTGGGTCTTCATCATTTGTGAACTTCAGGCTCTGCTTTGTGAATTCTCTGGGTGCACTTTGATAATTCATCCCCTCCTTTTCACTGTAGTCAGTTTGTGTAAGGGATTGCCCTTAGGTCTAAGAGTGAAGAAAAAAAGCAGTTTTCTGTGGCCACAGGTGTGTCCTTGTCCATCCTGTGAGAATTGATGGTGTAGACCGACTTGGTTACCCCTGTGCTCTGCATGTTTATATTCGCATGGGTTCCTGCACGTGCCAAGCCTGGAAGCGCGCCACGCTGTAGCAGTGCATGTGCCCTGGGTTTCTGGGGCTGTTTACCTGTCTCTGCAACCGGGCATCTTCCTTAGCCCAAGTGCCCAACTCTCCCGCGCATCTTCCATTGTAGGAAGCGGAGGATTTCCACCTTCCTAATCCTCCTGCCTCTGCACTGCCCTTGGAGTTAGCTCCCTAAACTAGCCCCACGTGCTCCCGTGCTCCAGGAGGGGGCATTATCAGCAGGTGTGCGGGTTAGGAGTGCAGCCCCTCCCTGGAGCCTGAGCAGCTCCGGCGCTGCAGAGTCCGCCTGGCTGAGCGCCACGCCAGCCCGACCCACGGCCCCTCCTTTGCACGGAGACCGTGGGACCAGCTCGGTGCGGTCCGCGCGCGGCTGCGCTTACCGCCGTGGGCGCGCAGAGGCTTCAGCAGTGGGGAGCCGGCCGCGGTCGCTGACTCCCTCAGCCGCGGTGGTCCTTGATAGGGTTAGGAGCGCTGTCTTTCTAGTGAAGTCCCAGGGTCACCTCTCTTCACCTGAGTGACCTTGAGCAAGTTCCCCAGCTTCGCTACGCCAGTTTCTAGACCCACAAAATTGGGCCACTGGAGGGACTGCTAAAAGCAAGGGCCGTGGCAAGAATTAATGCATGTACCGCCCGGGAAGGTGGTAGGAGCTCTCAGTGACTGTTACAGAGCTTGGATCCGTAGGCGGAGGCCAGGATGGAAGCTTGACCAGCTTTTCCTGGGCTTCCCTGGGGTGCAGGGTGGGAGCGCGGGAACCCTCGTCCCCTTTGCCTTTCACGGATCCACAGGGGAGGCTCGGCCCGCCGGACCCGGGTGGTCTCCTCTCCTCCCGACCGCTCCTCCCAGGACTTCAGCGGAGGAGGAAACGTTTCTTTTGCGATTTGAGTCTCTGCTTCGCTTTTTCCTCTCCTCGCCCCGAGCCTGCTGCCTCCTCCAGCCATAGCCCGGAGTGCCGGGCCTCGGACAGGAGGCAGGACTGCCTTGGGGCGCGCGTGTCTCCCCACCCCCGGCTCGGGAAGGGAAGGAGGACGAGGCAGCTCGGAGACCCCGGGAGATCCGGGCCTTGAGTAGTCGCGGGGCCCGGTCTGCGCGGCGCCCGCCTTGTAGGACGGCTCGGGCTGGTTATTCGGAGGCGCCGCCGGGGAGCGCAGGGCGCCCAGCTCCTCCAGGACGGGATTCGGCGCCGGCTGCGCGCGGCTGGAGTCGACGGCCGGTGCGGGCTCGCGAGGTAAGGAGGGCTGGGAGGGGGGTGCACGTGTGCACGCGGGGTGGCCGGGGCGCTTCCCACCCCCGCACCTGCCCACGCCCGCGCGGGCCGCACCTGTGCGGGGCGCCGGTCTCCGGAGCCCTCCCGCCTCCGCGCCCCGTCGCCCCCAGCCAGACCCCACCCTGCCCACGGCTAATTTCCCAAAGCAGAACCGGAGCGGGACCGGAGAGACAGCCTCGCTTTTCGGCTCCCCTCGCCCCCTCCCCCGCCTGCTATAAATAACCGGGACTAGCGGGTCAGGAACGTCACACGGCCAGAAAGCAGGACCCCGAGGTTGGTTTCTCTGGGATTAAGGGGCAAAGGGCGACGACGAAGAGGAGGAGGAGGAAGAGAAAGAAAATCGCTCGTGAGTAGTGAAGAAAAGCTTGCTCCTCACTCCTAGAAAAGACCAGGCATCGTTTTATCTTTTTTTTTTTTTTTTTTCTCCCATTCTCCCTTTTTTAATTCCCCACCCCCAATCCCCGGGCTGCTCGGCTCCGCGCCCCACAGGACTCGGTCCCCACCCCGCGCGCCCGCACCCTCCCGCCCATGTCGCCCCAGGCTGGAGATGCTGTTCGCCAAGAAAAGAAAGTTCCAACTCCTCGGCCAGTCATCCTGCCGAGACCCTAAACGGGCTTCCAGGCGTCCGGCTTCCGGGTGCTCCACCTGCGAGCGCCGAGTTTCTTAATCTGGTTTTGCATATTTAAGAACACACACACACACACACACACACACACACGCACACGCCAAAACCCCACAACCCGCGAGGTGCAAACCTGCTTCCTGCAACTACCAAAACTTACCAGCTGCTGCAATTGTTTTTGTCTTAACGAAAGGACAACAAAGATTTTACTCTGAATGCTCGTGTGGGGGGTGTCTTTTTCTAGTATTTAAGTATGCATATATTATACATATCTGCTTTTCCCTTTTCCCCTTTAATTTTCTTTTTTTAAACAAGGAAACCTACTTGATCTCCGGCAACAGCCGCTGCCCCTTTGATGTTTTGGTGCGCCGTGCGCATGCGCCTCGCATTAGAATTACTGCACTGGGCAGACTAAGTTGGATCTCCTCTCTTCAGTGAAACCCTCAACCCCATCAAAAACTAAAGGGATGTGGAGAGTCCGGAAAAGGGGTTACTTTGGGATTTGGACATTTCCCCTAATAATCGCCGCTGTCTGCGCACAAAGGTAAGAGTCTTTTTTCTTTCTCACTTGAATAGCTGTCTGCATACCTCTGTGAGCACAGGGGCTGAGAAGCCTTTCGTGCTGGCTTCTTTACTGATGCCTGTTTATTGTCATTTCTTTCTTCAGTGTCAATGACCCTAGTAATATGTCGTTGGTTAAAGAGACGGTGGATAGACTCCTGAAAGGCTATGACATTCGTCTGAGACCAGATTTTGGAGGTAATGGGGTTGCCTTGCAAATAAGAAACAGCCCAGCCACAGCGGAAGCTAAGCTATCCTTTGGGCTTTGCGTGCGCTCTCTTCCTTTTCCTTGGTTATGGGTGCATGTGGTGTGCTCAATGTCTCCTATTTTTTCACTCAGAGAAACTGATCCAAAGTTAAACTGGTTTGTTACTATCCAACACTTGAGAGGTTGTTCAAAGAGACCATCAAACTGGCTGATTGCTTTCCTTCAGCTTTACTGTCACAAATCCTTTCCTTGACTGTCTTTGTTGAGATGCAAACCTCTAAAGTTGAATTAGTGGTGTGCCTAGAGAACGTGTCTCACGTGACACCGTGAACATTTTTGAGGACAAGATGTAGAGGTGGCATTAACCCCCTATACCTGCCTACTTTGGAAGAGTTGCTCTGGCCCTGACTTATTTCTGTGTATTCTCCTGTCCTTCAAGCCTCAGCATGGGGTGAGAAGGCAAGAGGCCTGGAGGGGGGCAGGAGGGGAGGGAAAATGGGCGGGAGATGGCCAGTGGGAGAAAGGGCATCACTTGCTGCCTGGCTAGATACACTACCGTACCCACTTAACTTTCCTTCAGACTCCTATGGAACGCAAAGAGTTAAAACTTGTCCAGAGAAGGGGTTTTGAGAATATTTATAAAGATCCCTTGGGCTGGAAAGACTCTGATGCTTTTGAGAGGGTGTGTGTGTGTGTGTGTGTGTGTGTATTCACACTCTGAGACTTGTCACATGTGTGGACAGAGCTGGACTCCCTCACCATAACCACATGTGTGTGCATATTCAATAAAGCAATTCTTAGAAGAGTGAGGTCCTGAGGGAGCAGGGAAGTGAGCTGTTTGAGGCTGAGCAGTGCAGAGAAGTTTGGGGTAGGAGTCCCATGCCTGGGACCCACTCTGGTTAAAATGCAGAAGTCTGAGAAGTCACATGGCTGACCATCTTGGCTTGCAGGTCCCCCTGTGGCTGTGGGAATGAACATTGACATTGCCAGCATCGATATGGTTTCTGAAGTCAATATGGTGAGTTACTGAGGTCTGCGCTATGTCTCTCCAGATCTTTATTTGGGGGCAGAGAGGAGGAGGGGCCCAGCCACCTGGGGTGGGGTATGCATGAAAATATATGTGAAGTGGGGGCAAGGACAGGAGGTTTTGCTTTGGAATTTTGTGTTCTGGTTTGCAGAGTTGGCTGTTGGTCTTAAAATTATCCACTTGCTTCTGTTATTTGGATCTGGGTGTAGCGTGAGTAAAGTGTGTCACATGTCCACGTGTAAACTGCATTCACACTCTGGAGACCCTCTAGAGAAGTGATGTTGCTGTAAGATTACAGAAAATTCAGTTTATCTAGTGATTTTCTGAGTTGAGGTTAGGTCAGAAAAAAAAGAGACTTTTATTTAAGAGAGAAATAGAGACTGTAACCTGCAAACTAAATTTTAATGAGGTTGAATAAATGACTCAGGGATGCATATGCCCACTTGTTGCTTTTGGAAATCACCACTTTATAGTTAATAGCACACTTCCTCCCCATCTCCATTGATATAAACTTCCTAACACCCTCTTGCTTACCAAAATAAATATTACACCTGCTCCTCCTGTTTACAAAGAGCTCAGGCCTGTGTGTCATGTCTGGTCATTTGACAGTGCTATTCCTTATATGTCCTACAATGAATAGCTGCCCTCCTAGTAGCTACCTCCTTAGACTTGAGGCAAGTGCTGCTAGAGTAAACCTGTGTTCCCCAACTAGGAGGCCCTTGTGGGGGGTTTGCTTCATGCAGGAGCGCCCCCTGCTGTCTATGTTGGACCACTGCAGATGTGCATCACAATGACAAGTGTCCTGGATTCCCCCAGTTGGAACTTCTCTCCAGTGACTTTTTTACTCTTTATTGTTAAAGTTTTCCATTTGGAAAAGTCCTTGTAATTAAGCCACAGATCGATGTAAGTGTCCAGTGTTGCTTTCAATTCTGACCTCTGACAGCACATTCCAGGACAATGTGTTATGGTATGCTTTCTAAAACATGGGCGATAAATTAAAGAAGGCCCTGGATGTAAGTTTCCATGAAAACACTTCCAAGTCAGCCATTAAGACAAGTCAGAGCACTGCTTACCTCACCTGGCACGTGTAGGATGCGCCATCACCATTGTACAGTATCCATATTCCCACAATTCAAACGTGAGGAAACTCCAATAACTACATAGCCCCCAGATCAGTGATGATGTGGAGGTATGTCAAGATCCCGAAGAACTTAGGGACATTCAAACAGTTCAGCAATGTTTAATGAGATGAATCTGGTTGTATTTACTTTTTTTGGAAAACTCTTATTATCATATAGATTGTAAATATAGACTAAGGACCATAATCTAACCCGGGTATGGGGTGATTCAGGATAACACATTATGAGAGCCCCCATAAGGATAATGTTTCTTCCATAAACAAACGTTCACTTATGTGGATCTTGAGAGATTTTTACCAATTTTTTTTAAATTTTGAATTCCACATAAATACAGAAAATGACCTAATGTCTGTATCTCACAGTCCCGAAGTATTTGTATTTAAATTGTATTACTAAAAACAAAGTTACACTGAAGTCACGTGTGGCTCATTGTTTTCCATACATGAGTGAGTCCGACCTTTTCCCTTTCCACTTCACTTTATTTACATTCTTTCTCTCAATTTTTATTTCTCTCCCTGCTTCCTTATTCAGACCATCACAAAAAAAGGTATTTGTAGAAATAAATTACAACAAAGATGGAATCCAAAGAGACCATCATGAGGTGACTAGAGTTTACTGCAATAGGTTAACTAAGAATTTAGATGTTTTATATCCAACAGTATTTCAGGAGGTAGAGTTTTTGTTGTCTTAAGTTCTGTTCATGTTTTCCCTGTGGGAAACATTTTTGGAGAGGTAGCCGAGGTGGATACAAATGCCAAGAGCTGCTAGTCAGAAGATAGATCCAGCTAAGGCAAGGTGTCATTATTTAAAGCTATTTACTGTTGCTGAAAAGTCATGGGATGTTGAAAGTGTAAAAATAAATGTCAGGTTGTAATTGGGACAGCATTTCAGCGTTAATGATTAGACCCAGGTATTAAAAAGTCCAAGCCAGATTCTTTTCTTAGCCTCATGTTAAGATTCCTGGCTTTGTCCAATCACAGTTGAACTTGTTGAAAAATTGACATTTGTTTAATCTAGAAGTGTGAATGATCATGAGGTAGTCCTGCAAAGAAAATTTTTGTTGTATGTGTTAATTTGATTTTCAGTATGTTATTCATTGTGAAGAGACAGGAGGATAATTCTATTTAGTACCTAAATAAAAGAAAGTGTTCCTGTATATTATCCCTTGTATTTATGTCTGAAAGTGTTAGGATCTTTTGGTTAAATTCATTTTCTAAAAATGGTCAATTGGATATTTAAGTGAAATCTCGAAGTTGATTAACATATACATTTCTCCTTCATTGTACTTGGTGGACTGGGGAATTGTAACTTGCTGATTACAGCACATCTTCCCTTGAAGAATTGGAGGAAACAGACCATTTAAATTGTCGTTGACTCATTTGTACTGAACAAATAAATGTCCCTTAGAAATGGCAGTAACAGAGATGCTACCAGAGTCAAGAGTCCTGGATGGTAGATCTACTATAGATGCTTAGGCAGACCTTGATATTTGCATCCACAGTAGGTTCAGTCTTCTTCCCTGCTGAAGGAGAACTGTAGTCTACTTTACCTATGTTAGGTGGCTATAACTATTGATAAAACGCTGCGTGTAAATGTCTTGGTGCTCTGCGAGCATCACTCAGTGGACAGTGATGACCAAGCTAACACCCCAGAGCCCCAGTGTCCAATCCCTTTGCTGCCCAAGTTCTCTTCCTCTGTTAATGTCAGACTCCTTGTGCTTGAAAAGAGAAGGGGCAGGTTGACCTAAACTCAAAGTTACCAGTGCCTGTAATTTAGTTTGTAGCAGAAGCTTTTCAGTTATAAAGCACTTCCAGGAAACTTGGGGCCTTTAGTGGAGCATGAGGAGAATTCAGCATTCCTCAATGGCATCGAGTTGTTCTTTGGAAGGTGGTGATGATAGCTAGGTGCCTTCGTTCAGCGGAGACTCGATGAGAAAGCTCTTGAGCAGGAGTTTGTCTTTGGAATGAAATATATTTAGATGCCTTGGGTAAATTGGCAGGAATCTTTTTGTTAAAATTCTTTGATGAGAAGTGCATTTTACAATTCAAATTTGGCTCTAGGATTAAGGACTAAAATAGCTTTCTCTTCATTTAAGGCAGATTCTTCTCCATCTTGAAACAACGTATTTGCCAACCAAAGAGTAAAGCAATATTTCACTTTTAAGGAAAGAATTCTAGTAAACACATACACAAATTACCTTTTTATGGAATAGCAAATGGAGAAAAGTACTGCCATTTTTTAAAAAGCAGATGTTTCTTGCATCACCAGCTGCATAGTTTAAAATTCCACTCAACAAATACTTACTTTCCACTAGCAGCCAGGATGTGTGAGGCCTTAAAAACAGCAGTGCGCAAGACCAGCCTTTCCCCGATCTCATGAAACTTAAAATCTAGATGCTCACTAGTCCAAATTCTATGCCACTTGTTACTACACTTCTGTTTAGCTTAAGGCTTAGAGTTTCTCTAAAACATTTCTGAGCAGCTCAGTGGGTGTCAAGAGTCTGTCACCTATCTATTCCTTTGTGACTTACCAATTTCCCTCACTTATTTGGTATTTGGTATTTCAGGATTCCTGGCATGTTACAGTCATTGCATCTTCTAACCTATTGGTAAATAGCATTTAGATTATAGTGTCTCCTCCAATGTAGGAATGCCACGAATATTTGGTGAAGAAGCGATTTCATACCTGTAATTTGTTATTATTTATCGCATTGTACTATCTATGTGTGGAAATGGAGTTTGGAATCATTGTGCTCAGTTTCAAGATATTCAGCTTTTAAGACAAGAATATAATGTCAGAAATGCTTTTGAAGAGGACATACATATACAGAACATAGTAGGATAAGGAGTTCATACATTACAAAGAGATTGGATTGGTGATGAAGGTTATGGGGCTGTGGATAAATATTCCAAGAAGACTAAAGTGCTAAATGGGAAGACCCTGGAAAATGAATTGTTTGGGGGTTTGAAAGTAGCTTTAAAAGAGTTCTTAGAGTGGAAGTGGGGAGCTGGCAAAGAGAATTGCTGTTGAAGTCGTAGAGACCATTTTTTTTTCCATTTATGTATCAGGTAAAGGGTCTCACTACACAGCTCAGACTCATAGTGATCCTCCTGTTTTCAGCCTCCCCAGAACTGGCATTACAGGTGTGCATTACCACACCTGGACTCAGTCACTGGCTCAGTGCACCCCACCTTGGGGCAGGGCCAGTGCGGCATGTGGTACCTGGGATCGAACCCCAGTCCCTGTGCTTGCCTAAACAGGTGCTTAGTCCACTGAGCTGTCTCACTGGCCCTTAGAGAACAAATTTTAAAGATCAATTGTGTCTTATTTGGGAGCTTAACTTTTTCCCTGAAAGACAGTAGGGTCACGTGAAAGGATGAGAATGAACAGATTTTCATTTCTGGAAGATGTTTCAGTGATGTGGTAGGTGGACAGAAATGGAGGAAAACCTAGGATTGGGAGATGAATTGAAATCTACAGAAAGATGTAGGCAGCTTGGACCAATGGATTACAGGAGAAGGTATAAGGTCAAGATATTTACAAAGTAAAAATGGCAGGACTGAGTAGATCACAACTTGGAGCGGAAGCTGGAAGGATATTGCTCCCATTTTAGGCAGTGAGTTTAGTTTGGGAAATACTGTTTCATTTTGTTTTTTTCTGTGCACCGGGAACCTCCCAATGGAGATAAGCAACCAGTAGCTAACAGGAAAATATAGGTTTAGAGCTAAGAAAGAGATGACGAATAGAGAGGTGGACTCAAACATCGTCAGCATCTAAGTGGTACTCAGAAATATACATAGACATGAAATGAATAAAAGAAAAAGAAGACAGCTAAAAATGGAGATCTGGTGA